GGGGGGAAGAAATGTAAACAATGTTGCCTATCAGGGGCTGTCAAACAAGTCGAATCCATGGTATTGAAAGGGGGGGAGGGGCGTCTAATACCCAAGTTTAGGGTTCGTAGTCTCCATATTTTTGGTACGTTGGTTCCTGACAAGCCGCGCTGTGGCAGGGCCTGCTCATTTGAATGTGGATAATATTGATCACCGAGGTGAACAAGTTGTCATGAATTAGAATACATTCTCAGTCCACCATGTCCGCAATTAACTCCCAATTACTCACGCCTGATATTATTCCGATTTCCGAAGCAAGAAGTGGCCACACACGTCGGGTTCGGTCGACGTTCCCCATAAGAGCGTTTAGGGCACAATTAGCGCCTCGGAGTGGATCAAAGCATACGTATGGCACCCCCACTATCGCCTCAGCCTTGGGAAGGTTGATGTACATAATCAGTTTATTCTACTGTTGTTCGAGAAAACATCTAGAGGCTAAGCCACATCGTCGTTTGGGAGACAGCTCGCTGACGTGTTGCTTATCTGCTCCGCATGCATACAGGTGTCAACCTACTAAAGACAGTCACAACGCTGGGCTGAACATATCAATGGAACCGAGTAGCAGGAGTTGAAAGCTTCCGGGTATATTTTTATCCGTTTGGCTTCGCCTCAAAATACGAGGCATTGTGTTTCGTCGACTTTTCGTAGTGAAGTTTGTCAGACTGGTAAAGGGGGAGCACCACCGTGAACGGGTCCATCAAGATCACCCGTGCATTTAAATCCGAGTGTCAAGCCTACGATATATGGAGGCACAACACGGAGCATAATGTCCACAAGAGCACTAGTTTTGCAGAAGGTGTCTGTCAGTGATAAAGGCGCTCCCTGAGCGTCCTACTAATGATATTATGTACATGCATCTCATTCTTCATCTTCCTCGTCGCTCACTTCTTCACCGGCTTCAATAGCCTCCTGTCTCCTCTTCGCCGCAAGTTCCCTCTTCCTCTCTAGCAGCTTCTTCAATCTCTTAGCCGTACTGAATAATCCATTCGTGGCGGATCCACAGGCTGCACAGCTTGGATCCTTCCTGTACCTTTGCAGAGCACACTGCTCGCAGAAGTAATGACCGCATTTCGTGACAATAGGCTCCCTGTATGGTCCCTTGCATATGAAACAGGCGAACGGAATGTCTTCCAGCATAGCCTCTTCATCATCGTCCTTGTTCTCCGTCGTTGTCCGGTCGGCACTCGCGACCACTGTTCCCTTCAATTGCTTGCCCTTGGTGACGGTCTCCCATTCTCGATCAAGTTCCCATCCTTGTTTGTAGTCGCTTCGATCGTGGAGGAACTTACTATACCAAAATTGTTAGCATATGTTTCAAGAAGAGAGAGGACCCCCTATCAGGTGGCAAATAGGTCTGTCGAGGGTAAGGAAGACACTTACCAATTATCGCCGAAACCACAGAACCCAGTCTGCTTGTAATCCTTGCACACATCCGGGGAGTAATCTGTCACCGTTATGGTACGGATATTGGTCGCCGCCTTGATCGGTCCAAATGATCTGTTTGGCGCATTCGGATTCTTCTTAATGAATGACGTCTGGTTCGCCAGTCCCTTATATGTGCCATCCGGCATCTGCGGCTCACTTGAGGTAGCTTGAGTTTTAGACGAGCGCGCATCCTTAGAATCCTCGTCGAACCAGTCCACATGCTTTGTGGCGTCGTTTGTATCCGCAAGCTGGACTTTGCCATCACCGGTGGCGGTGGTCGCAGGTTCCCGATCGACAGGCTTGGTTGTGGCGGATGAAGCAGAGACGACCCCCGCACCCTTGTTCTTTCTGCGCTTTATCCTGTGACCGGATTCGTCTTCAGAGGAGGAAAAGTCGGAAGAATCGTCGTCTTGCGATACGGGAGGCGGTGCTGGTCTTTTGCGAATGTTCTGACTGGCCTTTGCGCCACGCTTTTTGAAAGTGACAACTGGGGGTTGAGAATCTGCAGCTGCAGCTGCAGCCGCAGCTGTCTCATTTGTCGTCTCAACCATTGCGATATGAGCGACGGGTCTGCGACGGGGAACTGTGAGTTGATGCGAGATGAGAAATGACCAAGCACATCAAGAACGCGATAAACGTGGATGCGCTCGGATCATGTGATGATAAGATAAAGTTGTTGCTCACGTGATTATGCATCTGCTGATGTCATCATAGAAGACGCGCGAAACTTCCTGAGTAACTTCTCATTATCAATGAATGAAATTGGATGATGTACACCGAGGACCAAATCCACTAATACCGTGTTTGCCCGGTGAATGTCTGCAACAGAGTTTATGCGCGGCGTCATGGCGCAGGTGCGTCAGCCTTGTGCTGCGCCACGGCAGGTGCCACCGAACTGGTGGTGAAGCGCGAATCATGTGTTTTCAGCTTAAACTTGACGAATGCCGGGTGATTGGAACTGCAGATGAATGGAAGATTCTCCAAGGAGTTCTATGACAGTTGCCTAAAATTGGCTGCGATCATCATGACCCTGCTCCCAATGAAGGACCAAAACGGAAGCAATCTTAAAAGGTTTTGCTCGATCGCGGGATCGAACCGAGGATCCCGTGGGTTGTAGCCTTAACCACTGGACCAATCGAGCACAACCAAGGTAAATCGGTGTTACTGCCGCATGCCCAACCAGAGCACTCAAAGTGTATGAGTAGCATATCAAACTAGGGTAGTCCCTGCCTGCTTGACATTAGTACTTGGTGGATCCTGCTAAACTCTTCCGATCCCACGGTTCCCCAAACTGGGGATCTTCAAAGAGGCGGTGCTCATCATGACTTCGCTCCGCCTCTGTTCGCGGAATAAATACCCTGGCTCTCTCTTCTCCCTGAAGCCTCCTCTTCCTTCTTAACAAAAGATAGATTCTCCTCTATTCCTATACCATCATGTATCCCCATCAGAACCGTATGTGATACCCCACAATTGTCCCCGCGTTCCTGCATCATGCTGATCAAGCGCTTCATCACAGACCCTCCATATCCTCAATTCACCGGCCCGCCTCAGGGCTACGGTCAACAACAGAACCCATCGCCATTTCCTCCTCAGAACCAGCACCACATGGCCTCTCCGCCTTACCCGAACCAGCCTGGCTACCCTCCCTACGGCGCTCCACATCCGAATCAACCCCCATACCCTCATACCCCGCAAGGCGCTCCTCCAGGTCGACCAGATATGTACCACGGGGGTCCACAAGGATATCCGCAAGGCTTGCCTCCTCCACAGGGCATGCCTCATGGATCGTTCGGTGCGGCACCTCCCTTGCCACCACACCCTCAATCTTATCCTCCGCTTGCGTCTGTGCCATCATTGGGCTACGTTCGAGGTCAGCAAGCAAACGGGGACTTCCGACCCCAAGCCGATCAGCTCCGTCGCGCAATGAAAGGCTTCGGGACAGACGAGAAGACTCTGATTCAGGTCCTCGCCAAGCTAGACCCTCTCCAAATGGCCGCCGTACGATCCACCTACACACACCACATCCGTCGAGATCTCTACAAGGATGTCAAAGGCGAGACAAGCGGCTACTTTCGTCGGGGTCTTCTAGCTATCATTGATGGCCCGTTGCAGTACGATGTGGTCTGCGCCAGGGAAGCTGTCGAAGGCATTGGGACGAAGGAATGGCTTCTCAACGACATCCTTCTATCCCGGTCTAATGCTGATCTGAACGCCATAAAGGCCGCTTACCACCAGACATACCACCGCGCTCTCGAAAAGGACGTTGAAGGTGACTTGTCATTCAAAACCCGGAACTTGTTTACCCTGGTACTTCGCGCCACTCGACACGAGGAATCCGCCCCATTAGACCCGCAACTCATCGAAGCAGAAGCCAAGTCCCTTCACCAAGCAACGGCGGCGCGCATGGTCAACAACGTTGATGAAGTATGTGGTATCATAGCCAGGGCCTCGGATAACGAGCTCCGTGCCCTCAATCATGCGTTCTATGCTCGTTACAATATTCAGTTGACCAAGCACATCGAGAAGGAGTTCTCCGGACACATGAAGGATGCACTGCTGCATATGCTCGGAGCTGCGTTGGATCCGGCCATGCACGACGCTGAGCAGCTCGAAGACTGCATGAAGGGAATGGGAACCAAGGACGAGAAATTGGTGACAAGAGTGGTCCGCCTACACTGGGCGCCTGGGCATTTGGATCAGGTGAAACGGGCATATCACCATCGGTTCCAGAAAGATCTTATCGAGCGGGTCAGGGGGGAGACCAGCGGTGATTACCAGCGATTAATGGTTGCTTTATTGCAGTAGCCGTACTTGCTATCGCTTTTCTTAATGTTTACTCGACGAAATAGCCTCATGACTTTTATGACTGGGCAGGGTATGGTATGGTGCGGCTGGGTCTGTTTGTGCATTATCGTTATGGGCGATGATAGACTGGGCTGGATGGCTACCTCTCATTGTCTTTATTTAGTTTACTGAATTGCGATGATTATCATCAACGCGGGTTAATCCTACTTAGCTATTTCTTTCCATCAATGAGACCATCAAGATTGATTGAAATCTGTGAACCTGACCTATCATCAACTCTTATGTTCGATCTGTATCTTAATGCCTCACACGAAAATCACACGAAAAGGACAAGATAAGTTCTATGCCAAACACACAAACCTCTCAGATAAATCAGAAAGATACATACATCCAAGCCAATGCATCTACTCAGAGCATGCACAAAAGCACTACTACCTCATACCTTATTCCTTAATCATTGACCTATGCGTTCATTCATTCATTCATTCATCATAAAAAAGTACCGACCTATACTACATACAAACATAAAGTCATAAAACATACCATCATCAATCAGTTAGTGAAACCGTATATAAATCACCCAAAAAAAAAAAAAAAAAAAAAAAAAAAAAAAAAAAAAAAAGAAAGAAAGAAAGAAAGAAAGAAAGAAGGACAAAGGACAAATTCAATCAACAGCATAAACTAAACCGGAACTGCCACCATCATCATCATCACCACAACCACCGTTATCATAATCATCAATCAAACCACCTCTCCCGCAACAAACACATGGGCCCCCGGAAACAACCCCGTCAATCCCGCATAACACCCCCAGTACCAATCATCATTGATATTCTCTGCTTCGGTGATTTCCGCTCCGCGGGGGAACATCAATTCGTCTTTGACTCCGTCTTCGGGGTACCATGACCACAGGGCATGGACGACTAAGCCGACGCCGCCGTCGGGTGGATAGCGGCGGGTACCATTTGTCGTTGTCGTAGAATTTGTTGAGGATGAGATTTGTGAGGATATAGCTGAGCTGGATATAGTGAAGGGGGAAGATGTGGTGATGGTGGTGGGTGTGTTTGGTTCGGAGGAGCGGTCACGATCACGGTCACGGTCACCGATAGTCCAAGGTCTAATCCGAGAGGCCTTTTTGCGGCGCTCGGAGCCCTCTTTCCAGCTCCAATCGCCGGAGCCGACTTCGGGGGAGGCGATGGTGGAGTTGGAAGTGGAGATGGTGGTGATTGGGGAGGCGGTTGGAGAGGAGGGCTGGATGAGGTGGTCGTCGTTGAGGGCACGGCCGCCTACGAGGTCGCGGAGGATGACGCGGCGTTGGCCTTCTTCGTGGTCTTCGAAGCCGATCACGGCCATGCGGTGGCCTTTCAGGCAGCGGCGCCAGCCGTTGTGGCCGTTTTCTTTACGGATTTTGCCGATGGCCACGAGACGGAGGTAGCAGTTGGTGCAGATGTCGTAGTCGCCGTTGTTGCATTGGAGGCAGTGGAAGCGGGGGGTGGAGTCGGGGATGGGGTGCGTGCAGATGTCGCAGTTCGTTGCGATGGAGAGGATCTTGTATGTTTCGAGTGATGGGGAGGGCGTGTTGTCGGTTGTGGTTGCGGTTGCGGTTGCGGTTGGAGTTGAGTTGCTGTCGGGTGGTATGCGGCAGATGGGAAGGAGGGCATGGGTGCAGCATCGTCCTTGGTTCACGCAGCGGTTGCAGAAGCCCCAGTCGCCTTCGTTGCATTGGTCGCACTTCCAGTAGCAGTCGTTTGCTGGGGATTGGCAGCTGTCGCAGAAGAAGCCGGTTGTGAGTCTTTGGGCTGGGTCGTCGGTGGTCATAACTCGTCCGTCTCGGTCGGGACGGTAGGCAATGTCTGGTGCCCGACGGTACTTGCACGATTGCAGGATATGCTGCTGGGAGCTGCTGCGAAGTGGCGAGGGATGGCCACTTGAACAAGCGATAATACGTTCAAAGTCCGCTTCTGCGGATTTGGCGAAGCCTGCCCATTCGAGACACCCTTCGCCGGTGCGATAGCATCTCAAGCACAGGTGGTAACCGCCATCATTGCATTTGGGACATTTCTTGTGTAAATCGTATTGTATCTTCTCCTTGCCACATCGATTGCATGAAATAGACGGTTCGCTGAACATGATGGCAGAGCGAGGCGCATTGGACCGGGACGAAGATGGTCGAGATCGCGCCTCTGATCTGCCTGTTCCTCCCACCTCTGCTACCAAGGAACTGCTCGCAGGCACAACCATTCCCGGACTCGCTGGCCAGGAACCGGTGTGTGTATTCTGCTCAGGAGCTGCAACCACCCGTGGTGAATCGATGGATAATCTACCAGGAGCTCGTCGGATGGCACGTTCCCTGGCTCCTTCCACCCAGATGTTCGGTGTGCTCTGCTCAGATGCCGTGGCACGTCGAGAGCGCGGCGACGATTCCGTTCTGACTCGGGCAGCCTGCGAATTTCGGGGACGGTCAGTAACCACGTCACTAGACGATCGCGCTGCAGGCCTCAGCGTGACCTCCGACGAAGAAGCAGGATTCGCAGGCACCGGTGACGTTCGCCGACGGCTGCTTCCCTGATCCGACAACCGCCTCTGATGACCCGGGTTCCCATTTCGCGCCACGAGCGGATCTAGTAGATGCGGTCTCGACACAGGAGGATTCCGGCTAGTCTCATTTTGCGTAGGAATTTCCCGTGGTCTCTGCGTAGAATGCGAGCGAGCCCGAGCCCGTGACGACGTCTGATTCGTCTCCCGCGCCTCCAACCGTTGCTGCGAGCGAGAGCGCAATCTATGCCTCCGACGATACGCATCAGCGATGCGCTCACTAAGCTCCTCTTCCTGCGCCGGACCCAGATTATCGAAGTCGATATCATCCAGCAGCCCCTCCTCCAAAATCTGCCGTAGAATCTGATCCTGTATCGTCTCGGTATCCGACAAACTCAACAAAGACCGCAAACTCGACTGATGCTCTATGCGTCTATTGCGCTCCGCAGCAGTCTCCCCCTGCCGTCGCCGCGCAGCACGCTCCTCTTCTCGCCGTCGTTGTCGCGCCCCATCCACCTCAGCACTCGATTCCGTGCGACGAGTCCGCGACGACTGCCTCGACTGATGACCAGTAGTAGCACTAGTATTACTCGACCGGACCCGACTTTCCTGCAAACTCAATTCCCTTACCTCCTCCAACAACCTCCGATCCTCATCGTCCGAAACATCACCCCTCCGATCCGCCGACGACAAAACAGGGAACACCGAATCACCATGTTTGTATCTCTGCGCAATCTCCTCCTTCTCCTCCGCCGACTTATCCCGGTCGGGACTCGCCGCCAGGACCATATCCAGTAACGTAGTAACGGTAGCATTAGGGCGGGTTTCGCGGACCACCGCGCGACAAGACGGACAAGTGAACCGGACGGAAGATGACGACCGGGCGCGGGAGGCTTGTGCAGAGAACCATTCTTTGAGACAGGAGCCGCAGAAGGTGTGCAGGCAGTCGAGGAGGGTGAGAGGCTGGTACAGCAGATCCGTGCAGATCTGGGGTCGGAGGGGGAGAGTTAGCCGGTGAACTTTAATAAAATGCACAAAAACATTCCGAGGATTCGTCTTGCTGCTTCTGGTCTGTCTAGCATCTACTGGGAATAATTTCCGGCCAGTTATTTCGCTAGTCGATCAAGGCGAAGCAAGGGACGGTGAGATATTTCGTAGGCGGGGGAGTCGCAGACCGCATTCCGCACATCTTCTCCCCCCATCACTACTTTCTGGATGGATGATGGATTTACTTACCGAGCAGGTCAGTTCTTTCTCCAGGTCCCCTAGACCGGGACCGGGATGGGGGTCGGTCGACATGGGGTATGCTGGTTGGAGAAGAGAAGTTAGATAGATGTGTTGGTGTCATAAAGGGAGGAAAGGAAGAGAAAGAGATGAACAGAAGTAGGAGTAAAAGGTAATTGACAGGGCGAGTAAACAGGCGGTGGTTGGAGAGCGAATCAATCGATCGGGCGTCCCGCGGGTCGATCGCGGCTCGGATCCACTGAAGAAACCAAGTTCATTCATTCATTACCCATACTAGTTATCATTCTACAACAATACTCAGTAACTGATCGCTAAATACTAATGTAACAAGATACACGACTATTCTGCTTCTCACTCAGTCCTTGCCATATCCCTCCTTCTCCCAAAACCAATGATACAGACTCTTCGCACTGCCATCATCCTCGACATAATCTCCCACCATCTCCGCCGTCTCGTTCGAATCCGCCAATTCACTGGAAGTCATATCCACCGTCACACCCCCAGCCTGGTGACTCAGGACTTCTTCCGTGCCACTCCGTGTTCTCTCAGCCAAATCACGAGCACCCTCACGTGCAGCATCAGCAAACTCCTCCGCCTGTTCGCGAGCCCGCTGAAGCAGTTCCTCTGGGGTAGGATACCTCCGAAGCGCAAGGAGCAGCAGATAATAACTCTTCACAATCGCCGAATACACTGCATCCTTCGCGAGCATCGTAAACCCATGTGAAAAGAACCCCTTGAGCACCTCCCCAGGAAGTCCAGCATAAAGCGCAGCAACGCCCTCAGTGCGCGCAATCGCAGCCACATTACTAACAATCGCCGGCATCAACGACACCCCTTCATCCTCCTTCTTCTTCTCCCCATCAGCTCCCACCGTAATCTGACTCCCCGCAACTTGCGCCCGCGTTTTCGCCATCGAAAACGGATAAGTTACCGACGAAGCAATCGACTTGCTAACGGCCGCCAAGAAAAACGTCGCCACAGCAGACGGTCTCTTCTGTCGCTGACTCCTCGGCAGCAACGCATACTTCAACACAGCATTCAGAAAGAACGTAATCGACGGATTCAGCGTGAGTATCAACGAAGCCGAATACCCCGACCAGAACCCCCGTAATCCCTTCTCAGCCCTAATCCGCGCCGCAATCTCCTTCGTACTCCCACCACCAACATCCTTAGCCGTCTGCTTCCTCGCCACAATATTCGCCAACGGCGTCGTAAACAGCTTGGCAAACGCCCCCGCCAAAACACCCACCGCTAACTCATCCAGCACCGGTAAAACAGTATGTTTGCTGCGGCGCGTATTCCCAAACCGGGCGCGTATCCTCCGCTGCCGAAAGAACTCGTACGCAAGGAAGAAGAGAAACGAATCCGCAACAGACTTTATCGTATCCTGTGCTAGACCCGTGTAGAAACTGGCGATTCCTTCCTCGGCGTAGATTTTGCGTGCTGCATCGAGGACGCTGGTATATTCGGCGTCCGACGCTGATTTCTCCGACTTTGTACCCCTTCTCACCTTCTGCGTTTGCAAGCGGGCAACGATCAAACTCAACGGATACGTCGCGACGTTCGAGAGCGCGGAGCCGACTGCTCCCGCGACGGCATTGCCCAGCGCTGGAAGTGCGGGCCCGCTGAGAGCGGCGCGCTTCCAGTCGAGGTTCGGTTGGGGTTCTTCGTAGCGGTGGTAGAGCTGGAAGGAATCCTTTCATATCAATATTCTCGTTAGTATTCTTCATATCTCGTTCATCCCCTGAAGAATAGAAAAATCATTAATGACATCACTCAATGACCTTACCAGCTCCGAATCATACTCCACCTTGTACTCCGACATATTGATTCTACTCGGCCCAAGGAATCTCCAAGTAGATAGTGACTGTGTTTCAGAGAAGATAGACGAGAAATGAGGGAGGGAGAAAGAGAGAGAGAAAAGATGATCTACGAGGAATGTGCAGATTGACGGTTATTTAGTCAAGTGACTGAACCGACAGGACATTCAATGGTGAACGACTAGCTAGAAGATGCATGTCGTGTGTTGCATCAGACCACCAGTCTTGCACATTGCCTAAGTACTAACTAGTAGGTAGTAGGCAGGCAGGTACATGATATATGATATGATGTGATGGGTGCTTGTGCCGACCGAGGTAAGTTCTCTCTTTCTGTGCTACCGCATGCTTCCAGGCCCTTACGTCATGTGGGAGGTGGCCTGTGCGGGGGTGCATGTGATCGGGTGATTTTCTTCCTACAGATTCCAGAACAATTTCGTAGGGGGAAGATTTCTAAATACGATGTCTGTGCTATATAGACATATTACGGCTGAAAAAGCAGATATCAAAATTAAGTATCAACGATATCATTCACGTGATATTTCGTCCATCAAGCCCTGAACGGCCGTCTAGATACAATAATTTCGAATCCATCCATCCGATCCCATTAACAAGAAATAAGCAAGTTGTAAGAGTATCAAACCCGTGGACATAATCCATTCCAATTGTAGAAAAAAGAACCCCAGTTATCCCAAACCCCAATACCGTAACGAGTCAAAAGAAATAGCCCCCAAAAATCAGAAACAGAATGTACGGCGGATCCTGCCGGTCTAGTCTACAATCCAGTCGAAGGTCCACAACCAGAGAGACGACAAACACCAAAGCAGTGATCCCTGCCGAGTGGTTGAAGACAATTTAACCACCGAAACCGTACAGGGTGCGGCCCTGGCGCTTGAGGGCGTAGACAACGTCGAGGGAGGTGACGGTCTTGCGCTTGGCGTGCTCAGTGTAGGTGACGGCATCACGGATGACGGACTCGAGGAAGGACTTGAGGACACCACGGGTCTCTTCGTAGATCATGGCGGAGATACGCTTGACACCACCACGGCGAGCGAGACGGCGGATAGCGGGCTTAGTGATACCCTGGATGTTGTCACGCAAGATCTTACGGTGACGCTTGGCGCCACCCTTGCCGAGACCCTTGCCTCCTTTTCCGCCTGTGAGAGAAGATTAGTACATGTTGAGTGATACTTTGTTTGATTAAGGAAGTTAGGTATGTGAGGGTGGAGTGAAGATCAGATGGATTCTTGGACACGACGCGTGGGCGTGACAGGTACGCGGTCACGTGTTGCCAGGGGTGCATCATCAAAGATCATCCAAGATCATCACCACCATCCCAACCCGAGAGTAGGGAACGACCAGGAACTAATAGCTGAAGCAAGAAAAGAAGATAAAATACTTACGTCCAGTCATATTGCTGAGATGAGATTAATTGAGTGGAAGAAGTATGAGATGGAAGGTTGATGAAAAGTGGTGGGTGGTTTGGCGTGATGCGTTGCGGGCCGGTCGCTGAGAGGAAGAAAAGAGTCGAGAGAGAGCGAAAGAAGGTGGCGGAGACGGAGGAGCCACCGGTTTATATAGGTTTCGCGGTGCGGGCGGCAAGCGAGAGCGTGATCTCGCTGCTTTGCCCCTTGGAGTGAATGACTAAGCCCCAGAGTGTGATCTGGAAGGGTCAAAAGCAATGGAGAAGCCTGATTGGCGGGCCGCGGGGGTAAAAAAGGGCGTTATGAACGACCGCTTTCGAGGTGGTGATTTTGCGGGTTGCGGGTTGGCGCTGTTCCCGCTGGGGACCAACTTCTGCTGCTGCCCGCGCGGCTCAGGCCGTAAGGCGGCGGGTCCGTCACGTGAGACTTGGCGGCCGGATGTCACTTCCTCACCACTATACGCTGTACTACATACAAAAGTCAACTCTCTACATCGGTGGCAAACTTGCATCCCTCGCAATCTAATCAATTGTATTGTGTACCATTGCATAATCTGGATAGCAGCTACACACGCTTCACGAGCCCTCCCTGGAGCACAGCAATTCGAATAAAAATGAGAACCCATGCACCACCCACCCTTAGCAAAACTTGGAGAAATCATGAGCGTAGAGGAAGAATTAAGACATAAGGTACAGGAAACAGAATGATTCATGCTCCGAACACCATACAGAAGCTCATCATGGACGGAGGTAGATGACGAAAGACAACGATGCAAATGCGTTAGACCACTTCAATGCGAACACTTTTCCTTGCTTCGCCTCCTCGCTTCCCTTGAAATGCTGCGCAGGAACCTCCCATGCATCCCATCCACTCAGCAAAGGTAGCCCCGGTAAATAACTGACAAAAATAACTGCAAAGGAAAGATACAAGACATCAAATCGTAATCGTTACTGTAGCAAAATCGTAGCCGCGCCCCAATGTATTGGAAAAAGCCCCCCTGTGTTGTATAGGTAGAAAACATGCACCTCCCAGCATAACGTCAGATCCCGCGGTTTATAATACATCGCAAAGGATCCCCGTAGATACTTAGGCGGACGCATCAACAAAAGTCGAGTCGAAGATGGGAACGAGGCGGCTTCAGGGACACCAGGTGAGCAGGTCGGGTTGACAACTGCACTGTCGTTTAAGAGTTTCAAGTCATGCTTGATAGCCTTCGGAAAGCTTATCCCCACTGGGGTAAAAAGAGAAAGAGGGAAAAAAAAAAAAAAAAAAAATTCGTGTCTTCCATCGACGGAGGGACACAGAGACATGTAGAAAGCAAAGGACGTTCGCGTTGTGATCTCGTAGGCGGCGGGGTCTAAAGCGCTTATGCATCTTCGTTCATCCTTGGATGATAGCAGGTGTCTGCGTATCCTTCATAAAACTGTTTTGCATAGGCTGAAGATATGGATATCCGATATGGTTCGGTGACGACGGAGCGGCAGGGGAGTGTCGAGAATCACCACCATAAACCCCATCCATGGGAGGAGATGAACAGGGAGACACCGAGCTGGAACTGCTACCAGACCCCGTCCGGCTTTCATAGTCCGGACTTCCCGTGACGGGACCAACTGCACCACTTGGGTAATTCATCGATCCGGATCCGAAGAAGCAGTATTTATCAACCAACTCTTTATACACCGACGACTCGCGATGCGGCTTGCCAGAAACGATGGTAGAGGGTTTGTGGTGGTCTGAGGACCCTGGTTGCTGGCTACCTCTGCTAGGCAAAGGCGCGTTCTCCTCCTTGTGGCTTGCTTTCCGTTCCGACGAGTGGCCGTGACTACCATGCGACGGAAGTTTCGATTTTGCTCGAGCTGTCAATGTCGTGCGATCGTGAGTAGGTTTGGTCCGCATGGCTGCCGACAAGGAGGCTCCGAAATCGTAACGATTTCCAAAGACCTGATGGTTCTGCTTATCGCGACGTATCGGAGCCACCAGTTCAACATCATGCGGATCATCATCACCCAAATGTTCCTTCTTGCCATTCGTTGGTGGGTTGCCGAACGAGATGTACTTGTCCATCTCAGACAAGGCATCAAATGAAGGCGGCATTGAGTGTGGGCGGCTGTTGGATCCAGCAAAGCTCCTGCTCCTAGGCAAATTCGTACGAGGACGTGCGGAGGGAGGAGCACGGGCCTGGGGCATTTCCTTTTGTACCCTGCGAAAGTTGACTTGGTAATTTTGTGAGTTGTTGTTGTCCCAGTACTCCTCTCCAGCGACATTGTAGCGAATGCACACGAACATGGTTTTCCTCTCCAAATTTGCTTGGTCATCCAGCCGGATGCTGAAAGCAAACCTGTCATAGCCATCCTGAGTAGGCTTCCGTCGGGAGTCATCATTGTACTCGGCTGAGACTTCAGAAACAGTCTTCCAATGATCGAGAGTAAACCGAGCAGCAACGTGCTTGTGGAAAGCCAGGTTGGCAACCCCAACGACGCCGATCATGGTGTTTTTATCCGAAGACAAGTGCAGGCGTTCCAATCGAACGCGCTGCTTAGCCCGAGAAGGGCTGTCTTTAGGAAAGTTCGACAGACCAAGCTCCCATTCAAAAGCGGGCATGTCCCGATGACCCTTCTTGAACGGAAACTCCTCTGCTGCGTCATAGTCTTCCACTGGCGAAGTGTCTGCACTTACGGCTTGAGGCTTATCCAATTGCAGGAAATGACGGATATGTTCCAGCTGAGCGTCGAAGTGAACCGCCTTTGCGTAAGTTGGAGTCCCCGGCATGCTAGATGGGCGCCGCCGAGCCGAAGGTGGGCGAAGAGCTGGCCTCACCAGTTCCCCGGACTTCTTGCGGACCATAGGGTGCCTGACCGGGGGCTCGTCATCTCTGTCACTTTCTTCTGGAGAGCTAGTCAAAGCCTCCTCTTGTCTGCGGTCAATTGAGGTTTCTGTAACCGATCGAGAGTGGGATATCTTGCGGGCCTCTCTGGAGAGGGGCGGCCGTGGAGGTTGAACAGGGCCACCAGCAATGGCTGCCATGCTCGATGAGGACTGCACCTCCGACAGCTGTCTCTCCGGTGAGGACACTCGCCTCTGCTCAATGGACCTCACAGCAGCCTCCAATTTCTTCAGCTGGAGCCCGTCCTGGGATGGGTATGACACCTCTTCATCACTTGAATTGTTGGCAGATTCAGGAGGTGAGATCAAAGCCCCAGGAGGGATGACAGCATCACTTATGGGAGGCGGCGACGTTCGAATACTGGCATGAGGGTCGTTGACATGATCCACTTTGATATGACCTTCGGGCTCTGGAAAGACAAAGACCTTGCTACTTGAAGGGCTTCGTCGGTGCCTTCGCACATATGAGGTGGAAGAATACGAGCGAGGCAGATGCTGGCGTTGATGGTGAGAGACGACAGCGGTGGGAGAGCTAGGACAGGATTGTGGAGTGAGTTCAGAGTGTTCAATGTGCTGCGCAGAAGGCGACGTCTTCAACGGCGCAGTGTATGGCATCCGGCCGGGAGTGCTTGTGTAAGCAGACACAAGAGTGGGCAATGAGGTGGAAAGTAAGATCGACAGGGTGGTGAAGCTCGTTTCAGGAAAGGTCTTTATGAACAGAAGGCTTCTGGTCCTGAGAAACGGCGTCTGTTGATATATTCTAGTTTCCCCACGTTAGCCAGTGTGTGGAGGCGGCGCCTGGAAACGATATCAAACAGTGGCGAGGATGATGAGCAGCAGCAGCAGCAGCAGCATTGCCTCCACATGGGCGATCATATCAAGAAAAGGGAAGATGGAGGGCCGATGTTACAAATCATGCCAGACGGTCGGCAAAAGAAGGAGAGGAAAGTGGTGTGACTGGAAGGTCAGGGTGTTCCAAGGTATCAGAAGGAGCGTTGGAGGCAAAGCCGGGGGCGGAGGGCGGATGCAGCCAACAGGGTGTTACGAGACAAGAGATCTCGGGCAGTGGCACAGATGAGAGCAACGATCAAGATCCCAGACACATAAATCATCGCTGAGATATGCATTGGGGGCAGTTTGGGGAAGAATAGTAGCCATGCGATAAGGGGGATTCACGAAAGAAAAGCACGAGGTCGACTCGACGAATACACTCACCTTGCGGACTCGACATCTAGTATGAACTGAACGTGGAAGAAACTACAAACATGAAATAAAAAAAAATAGGAGGAACAGAGAAGACAAATAAGAAGCTGGGCAGTGTATCGAACAGCCGAGCAGGGAGTACTTTTCAGCACAGTGAAGAGGAATTAGATACAAAGAAGTTCGTGGTGAATCGAAAGAGAAACGGGCGATGGATGGATGGGTAATGGAGTATATGAGAAGGTGACGGAGTGGAGAAGAGAGCAAAATATTAGGGTAAGCCGCACTTGACGGGGAAAGAAAGAAAAAAATTAATTAATTTGAAAGAGGAAAAAAAAGAAGAAAAAGAAAAATCCAAAAGAGAAATAAGCATGGAAGTTGGAAAAGAAAAATAAAAATAATCCCAAAGGAAAAGAACCTCTCAGGAATGATATTGATAAGGGAGCTCGGACGTCAAGAGTGATCGAAGGCAAGGAAAATACGGTACGTCCTGGTAAAGTTGGTAACCTTCAGCCAGGGAGGGGCAAAGAAACAGAAGGGAAAATCCACTGCTCGGATTTCCCCTCTCCGTCACTTTCTACTTGCTTTTCCCCTGAAGGTGAAATGAATAATACCTGTTTGGTGAAGGGGGAAGAGGTCTGTTCACCT